TCAATTACATTTTTAACTCAGAGCGACCCGCCGCCGGGAGACAGGGATTGCGAGCAGATGTGCAGTCGGGTGCAACGGACACGTTCTGTCGGGACGATCTGAAGGCGGCCACTGGTGGGTACCTTATGGTACGTTGGCTCATCCTCAGTTCTCGAGGTGCTGGTGCGCGTTTTCGATGCACATGGTGGAGGCATGCTGTTGCTGGTGCGGGGTGCCGGTGCTGGGTGCGGGTGCCGGTGCCGGTGCTGTGAGCTGTGCACGTGGTGGAGCTGCCGGTCACCCTAGGGCACAATCATCGGGGATACTGCTGGCACATGCCGGCACTTCAGTGTCAGAAGCGGCGGCTTGTCGCTGTTCACTCCTACAAGCGGCGGTTTGGCGCCCTTCACTGTCAAAACGGCGGTTGTTATCACTTCACTGCCAGAAGCGGGCACCAGCACCAAGCACCGGCACGCCAACTCACGGCACCCAGCACCATCACCCGGCACTTAGCGGCGGGCCTCCACCACGTGCACAGCCAGCTCACAGCACCAGCGCCCAGCACCCGGCACCATGTCTCCACCACGTGCACAGCCAGCGCACAGCACCAGCACCGGCACCCGGCACCGAATTTCCAAACTCACAAACATTCGTGACCTTTCAGTACACTTTTTTCTATAAAATAGGAATCCACATGTTCCTTATATGCACATGTTCCAAAGCATGTACGCCCTATAAAATCATTAATTCACATCCCTGTGTCAATTATCCAGGGGTACTTCTTCAGTGTTTGTAGAATGACCCCAGGAACAGCATTTTATAGATGCATCATTCATTGGGGATCCAGCAGTCATGTCGCTTGAACGTTCTTCGTCTAGGAGCGCCGTGGGGCATTTACACTCTTCAAGTTCTGTTTTGGCCGACAGCTGTGTCAAGGGCTGTACTGTTTGGGCGCACACTTTTGTGCATGCGCAACATCAGGCTGTCAACTGACCATTGTTTCAGCATGCCACACACACACAATAGTCGTGCTGGATATTGCTTGGCCTTGGGCGAGTGAAGCCTACGGGCTTTGCCGTTTGTGCGCACATTTTTGTGCGCATAGACTTATGGAGGTGCCGTAAGCTGGCTGTGCAGGCTGCGCCCATTCTTGTTCCAGCCAGTCGCATGTCAACAAGTCGTGGGATTCTGCCTAACTATCTGGGTCTATGCTGGCGTAATTTTGCTACTGTATCTGGCGTCTATGGGGGCGTAACTCAAGTATAGGAAGAGCTCCGTGCGCCCGTTTTCGGATGTTTTTGGGCTTGGGTGCTGGTGCCGCTGCTGTGTGCGCTTGGGAGCTTGGGTGCTGGTGCCGCAGGGTGCTGCTGCTGTGTGCGCTTTGTGTCGCTGCAGATGCCGGTGCTGTTTGAGGGTGCTGCTGCGACAGGTCTTTGGCCATCTCCGCTTGGAAATCAGGGTGCTGGCACCGCTGGCAGGCGCTGCAGGGTGCAGTGCGGCTGCACGGTGCTGCCTGCTGAAATTGTGTCGCTATCTGGGGCGTAATTTAATTTTGAGTTGGTTGCTTTCTGGGGCCCATGTTGATGTAATATGGTGTGATGTTTGTTGTATGATGTTGTATGTATTGTTCCCCAACCAGCGCGAACTATGCGGGGCGGGCTTCCAGTTTAGGAATGTGTGCTTTGGAGTCTGCTTGCCGCGTGTGTATGGCCCGGTTTGCTGGTGCGAGTGCAAAGTGCCGCACAGGGTGCTGCCAAATGTTTATGGTCGACATTACGCTTGGGTGTCGCCGCAGGCTGCCGCAGCCAGGCTGCCCACAAATATCTCCTCTTCCATCTCCTTTATAAGGATCCAGTCGTACCAAACCTCAGAAGCTACCACTGGATCCTCTTGGATCCCTAGGGGGTCCACATCTTCCCCCAGAAGATTCATCGGAGCAAACACCCGAACACCCCGTTTGGTCTAGCGAGTCCCTTTCGTCGCAGTGCGGGAAGGAGTGGAGCACCGGTGACACCGGCAAATCCGGTGAGGCGGGAGGTGTGTATGCCGCGTGTAGTGTAGGCAGGAGGTTAATAGGTGAAATGATACATGTTCTATAAGGATCTATAAGGAATCGTTGAAGCCCAAGCGAAATCAAGCAATTGTAGCCTCAGGCTGGCCAGTCTGCAGGGTAAGAAAATGTAAGAGAGAACAAGAATCAGCAACCTGAGATGACAGGGTTGCAGCAGGATAAAGCAAGTAGCAGTCAGGACAGGCTCTGGTGCTATCACCGGCTCGGCGCCTCTGACCGTAAGGCCGAGCAAGATCGTGTTTTCTCTTTGGCCTTTTCTTTCAGGATGCATCACCTTGTCCAAGCGCTTCTTCCCTTTCGGTCATGACGCATATGGAAGACCCATTATAGACCATTAAAAGACATTAATATGATAATCATTATACAATAAAATACCGCCATACCCCTCAAAAGAAGTGGAATTGGCATCCCTCAGAGTTTTGCCAGTGTTGATCTCACACGTGCCGTCAGTTTTGCTCACTTGAGTTGTGTTTCTTTTTTTTGGGGGGTGCATGGAAGTGTACACTGGGGAGCATGTATACGCGAGCGCCTACGCCAGGGGTCAAAAGTGTGTGAGGTAGCCTACGCGAGAGTATTCCAGTTTGACGGCTTTGTCGAGGCATCTACGCGGTCGACTACGTGAGGCCTTTTGCACGACGACTTCACGGATCAAATGCAGAACATGAAAGTGAAGAAGACGAGTTTGACCTTATTGAACGCCGACCTTCGGAAGATGTACAAATGTAGTACGGGAAGCAGCTTCTTGGTAGTACAAATGTGTGGGAGCTCTGGCCTCAGAACCGGCCACTTGGTAGTACCAATGTAATACGGGAAGCAGCTTCTGGGAGCTGTCGCCTCACAACTAGCCACTTGGTAGTGCAAATGCAGTGCGGGAAGCAGCTTCTGGGAGCCTCAGAACTGGCCACTTTGTAGTACAAGTGTAGTGCAGGAAACAGTTTCTAGGACCTTTTGATACTGAGAAAGCTCTTTGCGATACTTGGGCGTGAAGTCGTTCCATGTGTTCACGGCGCGACTCATACAAACAGAAACGAAAACGACGACTACATGCTGTTTGCTTGTTTGCTTAAACGGCTCAGATGGATTAAGCCTGAAACATGGAAATGGGCCAAACCCTTCCAAACCAAGTCGCGGCCTACACGAGCATCTAGGCGAGGCCTACGCGAAGCATACGCGGGTTTGCCTGCCTCCTGTCTACAGTTGTACAGGTACTGAGGAAACATCCATGGTCCATTGTTCTTTCCATCATGTGTTAAAGGTTTTATTGGACTCATTCCAAGTTGCAACTCACAACTACGCAAGCCTGCTTACGCGAGACACTGCTATGCTTTCCTACGCGGTTGCCTACGCAAACTTCCGCCCCCAAGCAGAACAGCCTACGCAGCATCAAGAGCAGTTCCACTTTTGTATAAACTCCTTCATAAAAACCGCTACTCTCTTGATCAGCATGTTGAATGCAAATTGCGCCATAAAGATCGCAGAATAATTCTACGGTTTTGTCAAACGTGGCTTCAGGTGCAGTGATGCCAATATGCCAACCCCTAAAAAGCAGTGAGAATCAATAGTGTCTTCTTATAAGGTTTGGCTTTGGCAATGGAAGCATATGCAGCATGTTGAAGCAACAAAGACGTCTTCCAAAAAAACATCCCAAGACAACTAACAGCACCAAGCTGAACGACAGAAACAAAAACAAAAACACACGGCAGCCAAAAAAGACACCTTATACGTAGGCCCCAGGAACCATCCGGTCAAGACTTGGGTTGGGGAAGCTCCACCCGATAGGCTCCTGAGCTTAAGAACTGGATACTGACAGCTCCCGAGCTGGGAGGAGTTGATCGGAGCTCAACTCGAGCACTCGGATGCGGAAAAACGAGGGCGGCGGAGGCGCTTTCTTTGCCGCATGGCAAACCACGTAATTCTGAATATGGTTTTGTTCATGTTTTTTTCAATGTTGTTCTTTCCATTCGCGGAACCTGAGTTCTTCTCAATCCTGCATCCCTATTCCTTCGCACCTGGCTCTCCGATTTCCACGACCTTCGCCTTCGCCGGACGTTCGAGAGGTGCCAGGCGCTTTCCTCGCCCTTCGGCGGCTTCGTCGCCTCCTCGGATCGCGGGACCGGGTGCAGTCCCCACGCCTCGCGTGGCGGGGATGGATCCGGGAGCGATCGGAAGGGGACGTGAACGGCGTCCGTCAACGCCAGCCGAGCGTTTCAGGAAAAGCGAGGTCGATTCTGCCACTGACCCAGCCTTTCCTGACACCGCATATAGATCGAGCCTTCTCATCGCTCGACTGCGTTGTTTACAAGCTTCGAACGCCGCAGTCGAGCGAAGGGCGGTGGCGGAGGAGAGAAAAACACTCGGCGGAAGAAAAGTCCGGTCGCTTCACTCTTTTTGGCAGTTCTTGCACTCGTTTTTGCAAGACTCTTTGGCTGTCGGTGAAACGTGCTGGAGGGCGTCGCTGCTCCTTTGAGCCGTTCTGCCGCTGCTCGGGCCAGGGCGTCGCTGCCGTTTGCGAACAAAAACACTGGCCGGTCGGGTGCCGTCGGGTTCGTCGAATGGAGGTTGGTGGGCTCTCCATCTTTTTAATATATATAATTATACAATTATAATTATATATAATATATTATATATACACACACCCAAATGGAGCTATCAATGAGCTATCAAGTAATATAAGTAATCTCTACCAGGGCCCCCATCCTTGAAACATAGAGAAAGGAGTTGGAACCTTTGGTTGGGGTTTCTCAAGAATATTATAGGCACCCAATCCTCTTTCGTCTGTTTTTATCAGATCTTGTGATCTTGTGAGCCAACACTGGATCGACGGGTCTCTTGACAGATCGAGGGAGCAGTTTTGTTGTCCAACAAATCTCTCAATGGTAACGGTCTCAGTCATGACTTCATCAAAACAGCTATCAGCCCTCGCCAGGCACTAGCAGCCCTCTCCAGGTTTCTACAAATGTCCGGAACCTGGGCGGGCACAGCGGTGAGTTAGTACTTACTCAAAAGTGGCCCCAGATTGATGTCAATGGCTCGAAACTTGTGCTGGTTGCAAGATTGGAGGTACCAGGTACTTGCAAGTCTTTTATAGATGATGGCTTTTGTTTTTTTTAGAGAACCCAGCATCTCACCAGTTTTTGTTCATCGCCCTTTTTGTTGCCTCTCTATACGGGTCAAACCATCAATTAAAGAACTTCACGAGCCACCATTGTTTACTGGGGATTTGACGCTACAAAACCATGTCCACCATCTTTTAAACGTCGCCTTGGAAGGGTAGATGCATGGGTGAGTCCAATCCTATAGGAGCATCTGCATGGTATTAACGCCTCGCTATCTTCCCTAAGCAATCGACGAGTTGATGGTCATTTCATCCGCATCATCCACCCAAGAGCGCATCGTTCATGTTCCATGACACAACTCTTTGTGCTTCGATTCAAACAAATCAATGTCAGGAAGGCATGGAGCATCGATTCCTGTTTCACCATGTCCAAAACCCCGTCCATCCCAACATAACATGGCTGATTCCCGAGCTGTATACTCCAAAACAACCAAAGCACAGTTCAACGATCTCCAAAGCAACTCTGAACAATTCATCCACTGACTCCCGATGCCGAAGATCCCTGGAAAAAGGAGTTGAACTGAACAAACTCCACCACTTGTTCTTTCGTGGGGACACTCCCAAATCCCCCTCAAAGGTTTGCAGGTTCCCACTGACTGGGTAAATACATAATATGTTCATCCTGGCATATCCTGGCCCAATGAACAAACATGTACATCGCTGAAGCCTCGCTCGTTCTGGGCTGCCACACGCTCCAAGTCTCTTCTAAAGGCGGAGGTTGCCTCACTGCGCGATCCAAGCAGGCTTGTCGGTGGCTGTCTTGACATGTTCCTGCATGACTTACGACAAGTGATCGTCCTTTGTGGCCACCGCCAAAGCGAACGGGTCTGAGGGTCCTTCTTCAAAAGACTCATCAGTGATGAATGCTGAAAATTTGGGTCTTTCTCTTGACTATCACGGTCCAATTGGTTCACTGATGAGGTAGATCAAAGCTCATCCTTTCTAAAGGTTGCCTTCCCTGGCTTCTCCTCTCCAATTGCACTTCTAATTATTGCTCGGAAGCGTGGCTCACGTGAGTCCATTGCCGCTCAAGGGTCGTCAAACTGACCATGTGACCAATTCCGGTGGAGGCGGAGGAGGTTTTTCATGCACACTCACTCCCTGGAGGAATCATGCTGTGGCTGGCAGCCAGCCCCTGGAATGACCATATTCAACTAATTATATATATATATATACCAAACGGTGGCTGAACTCGACATAAGCAAGTTGTTCGTTGGAAGGAGGGTATATGAGGGTATACAATGTTACACAATTGAATACAGCATAATACAGCATGTTCTTAAAGACTGGAGGACTGGAGGCACATGCCTAAAACCAGAGAAGCTGCATGAAACTAGTCGTACACAAACATTGCCCCGTCTTCAACTCAAAACCTATTGGTTGACAAAGCTCAATCTTGTTGGGATGGTAATCCCTAGGCGTTCACGTGGTTCACCGACTTGCCTTCTTCCTCCACGGGGAATTCATCTTTTGAACTGGAGAGCTGGTCCAAAACCACTCAGCCAGGTCTGGCTTCTGAGGGAGCTTCATGGCGTTTCCATATTATCGAAATCGACATCGCCACACAAACACAAAGTTCCTGGTGGTTGCGACCCCTGCCTGTTGGTGTCCCTGGTAAGCAGGACCTTCGCCACGATGCATCCTGCGGGATCCAAAGAATAGAAAAGTCCCCTCTTTAAGCGCCACCAAGGAAAAGGATTCACCACGATTCATCCTTAGGTAAAATAAACAAAACATCACCCGAAGCCAAACAAGGAGGTGGGGGATACTGCAATGGGGGATTGAACATGGCCCACAGCATCCGCATCAGGGAACGTCACAAACAATGAAGGGTCGCAAGAAGGGTCTGGCCTCTCAATGCTCATGTAGTAGAAACATCTAGTAACATCTATATAAGTCATGGACAGTAAACAATAGAAGTCTCTAGTACAATCTATAGTATCAATACATATATAATCATATATATATATATGTCATGTAAAGGTGATTTATAGTGAAACCCAAGCCGGCCAAACCTTGCAACACCTGAAGCTGGCAGTATGGGAGGGGGGTGCGACGACCCCAGCATAGCATGGCTGACTCTTGAGTCGTGGGAAACTCCAAAACAACCCACGGCAACTCTGAACAACTTACCGACTCGTTTAGTTTTCCTAAGGGGGAAAAACAAAAACAAGTCAGGTTAACTGAACTTTCAAAATTTTCAAGCTGTTCTTGCTTCGTGGGGGTTCCGCAATTCCCCCCAAAAAGGGCTTTGCAGGTTATCCCCTGGCTGGATAGGATGCTGAGTGAGATCCCCCTAGGCACCGGCAACTATCTCCCTCTTCCAAGTTGGCATTTCGGTGAACATTGGGGTCAACACCCCCAGCAAATAGAGCATTAAGTGGACATGCAGCGCGTCAATCATACAAGACATCACGGGCATATAGTGTGTTTTGTGTTTATTCTTTATACACTGTTTTGTAGACAAGGCATTCTGCACTATTGGCCCTAGAAACATGTTCAACCCTCACGTGCACAGGTTCAATCTCCATGCTGATCACCTTGAAATATTACCGAACCTCCCTGTTCTTCCGCACCCAAAGAGATCCAACAACAGTGGTTTCTAGAGATTCCCCTGCCATTTGTTGACCTTCCCACCTGCTCTGTCTCTTCTAGATGATCCCTATACCCGGTCAGTCGCTGACCGCCCGCCCCCCAAGCCCGCCCATGCACTGGGCCACCCGCGCTGGAAGGCCTTCCGGGCCGGTGCGATGGAACTCGGGACCTCATTGGCGAACTGGCCCACGACCTGAAGACGTCCGAAGGGCCGAGGCGTTCCAAGGCGGGACGGGGCTGGGATGGGCGGCGGCTCATCCGCGCACACGGATTTGACTCATCTGCGCCATCTGCGCACACACATTTTGTTAGCACTTGCGCCTCATCTGCGCACACAGTTGTTGACTCATGCGCGCACACTGTCCATCGGGGAGACTCAAGTGCGCACACAGGCCCTTTCCCGCATGTTTGCTCACTTAAAAGGGTCGTCAAAATGGAATGGCCACTTCCTCCTCTAAATTTTACCCTCCAGTGGCTCACCAAAGGGTGAGTCAACTTGGAATGACCACTTCCTTCCCTAAATTTTACCCCTGCCTTGCCCACAAAAGGGTGAGTCAAGTTGAAATGGCAACATCCTTCTCTAAATTTTACCCTCGGGTGGCTCACCAAAGGGTGAATCAACTTGGAAGCGCAACATCCTTCTCTAAATTTTACCCCTGCATGGCTCACAAAAGGGTGAGTCAAGTGGAAATGGCAACATCCTTCTCTAAATTTTACCCCTGCGTGGCCCACAAAAGGGTGAGTCAACTTGGCATGGCCCCTTCCCTCTCTAAACTTTACCTCTGCATGGCCCACAAAAGGGTGAGTCAAGTCGGAGTGACCACTTCCTTCTCTAAATTCTACCCTGCCCACAAAAGGGTGAGTCAAGTTGAAATGGCAACATCCTTCTCTAAAATTTACCCCTGCATGGCCCACAAAAGGGTGAGTCAACTTGGCAAGGCCACTTCCCTCTCTAAACTTTACCCCTGCATGGCCCACATAAGGGTGAGTCAAGTTGAAATGAAAACATCCTTCTCTAAATTTTACCCCTGCATGGCCCACAAAAGGGTGAGTCAACTTGGCATGGCCACTTGCCTAAACTTTACCCCTGCATGGCCTACAAAAGGGTGAGTCAAGTTGAAATGGCAACATCCTTCTCTAAATTTTACCCTCGGGTGGCTCACCAAAGGTGAGCCAACTTGGAAGGGTAACATCCTTTTCAAAATTTTACTCCTGCATGGCCCACAAAAGGGTGAGTCAAGTTGAAATGGCAACATGCTTCTCTAAATCTTACCCCTGCATGGCCCACAAAAGGGTGAGTCAACTTGGCAAGGCCACTTCCCTCTCTAAACTTTACCCCGGTGAGTCAAGTTGAAATGACAACATCCTTCTCTAAAATTTACCCCTGCATGGCCCACAAAAGGGTGAGTCAACTTGGCATGGCCACTTCCCTCTCTAAACTTTACCCTGCATGGCCTACAAAAAGGGTGAGTCAAGTTGGAGTGACCACTTCCTTCTCTGAATTTTACCCTGCCCACAAAAGGGTGAGTCAAGTTGAAATGGCAACACCCTTCTCAAAATGTTTGCCCTCGGGTGGCTCACCAAAGGGTGAGTCAACTTGGAAGAGCAACATCCTTCTCGAAATTTTACCCCTGCATGGCCCACTTCCTTCTCTAAATTTTACCCCTGCGTGGCCCACAAAGTTGGAGTGACCACTTCCTTCTCAAGTTGAGGCAGCACATCCGCGTGTACAGACGAGGCATCTCACTCGCGTGTACAGACGAGTCACCTTTCGCGTGTATAGACGAGGCGCCGCCCGCTGGGATGGGGTCTGGGAGTCGGATCCAGACTCTAAAAAGAATGGTCTGGAGTCTTTAAGGGGGCCCAGTTCAGGGAACTTCCTTTACTTCAGCCGGCCAATGATATAGTCGACCTTGGACTTCTAGGGTCTAGTTACCACCCAATTTGGAGTTTCCACACGAAGTTCCCAGTCGAATCAACTGCCAAGTTCGTGCCAAATCCCGGGTGGTAAGTCACTTTTTTGGGGGGTCCACTTGGCCACTTGACTGGGCATTCATTCCCAAGAATCGACTGCCAAGTTCCCTATATCAATTGCAAATCCTTACGCAATGAGCTGCGGCGTATGTGGCAGATCAAATGGCGCCCTTCGAAAAGATAGGAGTGACGGTCAAGGAACCCTAAACCAAAATGAGATGGCAAGACGATCTGCGCTACATGGAGCTTTGTGCAACTGCGTGGGAAGTTGGCTGGATGCCACGCTAAGAGCTTGACCAAAGCAAAGCACATTTCACACAAACAACACCAACAAACCAGCATATATATATATATATAATCATACATTATATGCATAGTTTCACATGCATGATCATACATTTCGAATGGTTGAACACGTGTCCATGGAATTAGATGGAATTAGGCATGCCAGTCTCAAACAGCTTCACCGACGCACCGGCCCCCCCGATCGCGCGGACGAACTCGTTGAGCCCCCCGGCAGCGTGCTGTTTCTGCTCCGCGCGGTGCTTGGCGGACTGGAAGAAGCCTCAAGCGGGATGTCGGGCCGGGAGTGGAATGAGTGGTGGGATTGAATAGTGGTTGACTGCTTGGAACACTTCACCCTTACTATTACAATCCAAATAGATTTCCACAGATTCCCCCCCGCGACTTGGATTTCACCCTATAAGTCCAGGTAATCAAGTGTCAGAAACCGCTGAAGTCCTCCAAGGACTCTGCACTGCACCAGCGCCAAACATGCCATGTTTTCTTTGCCAAAAGCAGGGGCCCCCGACCTCCCAGCCCAGCAGGCCGCATGCCGGCACACAGTTCCGAGGCGATCGTGGCCTCCTAAGGCTGCAACCACCGGAAGGGAAGGTTTCACGAGTTTCGCTCGACAAGGGACGATTACCCGGTCATCGCCATGGTTTCGGGTTTCTGATTGTTTTCTGGATTTTTTTGTGCATCTTCGATGCGGACCTGACCATGGGGTCGACCTGTGCCCTTTCACAGATGGCCGCTTGGAACTGAACAATATGAACTGAAATACCAGCATGCTCCAACAGGTCACCAAACGAGAGCTGTTAGGGCCAACAACTGGCCCAGCAACCGTCTAAACGAGACCTGTTGGAGGATGCAGGGAGGTATACATATATATATATATATATACATACTAAATGTATACTTATTTATTTAAAGTTATATACATGTGTAGTATGTAGGACTCGGACCCAATAGTTGAGCCAATGTCAAATTGGTGGCGCTTCATCTGATCCAGAGCCGGGCGCACATATATCAGTGTGTTGTGGAATCCATGACCAGGGTGGGATTGCAACGCACGCAAGGCTTTGTTCACATATCCAATGGTGTATATATATATATATATATGTATGTATACGTACGCATACGCAATATTTTTAATGTACATGTAATGTACATGTTACATGTATATATGCTCACTTTTTTTCTGAGCAATCCAAGGGGCTGCGCAGTGGTCACATGTATCAGCTATGCTGTACATACTAGTTGTGATCTGTACTGTAAGTTCTTCACACTCCTTCTCGGTAGTGTGAGCGCTCAATTGCTATTTTAAGCTCACTCTGCCGCCATAGTCCACTCTACTTCCATCATACTTCTATTGAGTTTCTCTTCCTCTAAGGAACGGGGTCTCTTGAGGTTTCAACTGCTGCGTGTTCTGGGTCATTTCCTCGACTCCTTCAGCACTGACTGCATCTGCCTGAGCAAATTACCCTCAATAAAAGAGTAGTTCGCGCTGTCTTTTCAATCTCTCGATTTTGCCTTGCGTAGTACTTGTCTTTGTTCTCTCTCATTTTCTCCATCTGAAGGAACTGCTCCATGAGCCGCTGCCTCCAGTAGTAGTTCATGTCCCCTATGTCGCCCTCTTGCATACCTCAAATGCTCTAGACTCCTTCTCGCTACATAGTTTGATGCATGTGTCTCAGAAATCAAATCATATCCAGGTCTCTGCCATGATGTAGGCTCATCTTCTACCCGTCATATACACAATCTCCACCATCCTGAGTTCTGCTTCATTCACTCTGTTGTTGAGCAAATCTCTCAATACTTCAGATTTGTGCTCAGAGTGTCTGTATAGCATGATGACGATTGTGATTTTCCAGTGTAATATTGGAGTCGTCCACTTTCCAATCTGTACTGGCTGATTTCTGTCTCTCTCATGCTTGCTTCTGTAACCATTGGCTGCAAGCCCTCAAACGTCGCAATTCTGACAATCACCTTGGCAAAATTATTCTTCTTTTCTCTTCATACACCTTTCTCTCAAGCTCACCTTCGTCCCAAGCGCAAATTCAAGAACTGAGCCAACATGTATATTCCACCTGATGCTGAGGAACCTATTGCATGTAACCCTGCCTCACATTAGATCTTGTTATATATTAGCTAATGATCTGCTGTGTCCTGCTGCTATTGAACAATGGACAACTGTTCAATGCATGGAACCCTCCTGATGTTGACTTTCTGTGGCTTTTGTTTCCAGTCCAGTCTGAATCTGATAATGTCACCAAGCACCAATCGCTTTCTCCTGCACATAGTTGTTGAATTTGACATTCTTGAAGCCAACTCCTTGACAGTAAATGCCACATCATACCTCTCTTGACATAGGTAGATAAATGAACCAATGATGATCCTGAAAAAGCTGATTTTCTCTTGATCGTCCAGTAGTTGTTGAAGTTTGATCTATCCAACTTGCGCTTCATATGCCTTCAGCGTCTGTTGAATGTAGTTAGCTGGCTGGATACATAGTCCGTCCTTCTCCAGTTTGTACTTTCTCCTCAGGAAGTTGAGATCATCACCAATCTTCTCAATCTTGCCCACGCTGGTGTCAAATCTGTGTCGAAACTTCGGAAGAAAGATTTCATTGATGTAATTTGCACAACCTGTGAAAATCAAGTCATACACATGGATCAATATGCTACTCTTCTCGTCTCTTCCTAGGCCCTAGGCATGGACACTTAATTGAGTTCCTTGGTGAGGTAACTCAAACCATGCTTTTGCTCCAACTCTTTGTCCAGGTAAATTTCTCTTCACAAAGAACTCTTCTCCTCTCAAGTTCACTGTTAAAAGTTTCTCCTGTGGGACTTGCGAAAATGCATCTTTCACATCAAGACATCCTAGCATCTGGGAAAATGCACCTTTTCCCTCTCTTGCTTCTTCCTTCTCTCTGCAAGAATATTGTGGGTAGAAGCTTCAGTGCATAACCTGAAGTTGCTAGTGAGAAAATGTCATCTCTCTTTCCTTCAGCGAAAGCAAATTCATGCAAATCCTTTTGCAGCTAGCCTTGATCTTCTCGTTTTTTATGGTGATGAGGCTTCTTTCTCCAGTCATACACATTGCGTGTTGTCAGGAAACTGGTACCTTCCGTGCCACCTTCTGTTTTCTCTAGCGCTTGCATTTTCTGGAGTCTCCTCTTTTCAACTTCATCAGCTACTCTGTCTATCCATTCTTCTGGATCTTCCTTCTGGTTCATGTTCTCCATCACGCCACAAGCATTCAGGTCCATTGGCTTCATCTTCTTCTCCTTCCTCATCTCCTTCTTCTTCCCAGTCTTCTTCATCAACTTCTTCTGCAACTGCGGATAGATCATCTACATGATACAGATATTCTCCTGCAACTTGAAAAAGTAATTGATGAGACGGTCAAGGCAGGAACCGCAATTTAAGAAGAGTTGAAACCTGCTATTCGTTTGAAAATTGTAGGTGGGCAGCTCAAACCATAATTGAAACTGACACTTTGAGGAAACAAGTGTTGCAATGGGATCGTTCTCAGCAGAAGTGGGCTACTTCAATGGTTGCAAGTAGCAGTACAGACTATCAAGGACCCATGCCCATCAACATTGATCGAGTTCAAGATGCCAAAGGAGAAGGTAAGAAGGGCAAGGATGACCATCAGAAGGGCAAAGGTAAGGATGCCAAAGGCAAAGGAAAGAAAGGAAAAGGAGACCAGAAAGGAAAGGAAGGTGATCAGAAGGGCCAAGGTAAAGGAAAAGATCAAAAAGGAAAAGGTGTGGCAACATGTTACACTTGTGGAAAGCCAGGACATCTTGCTCGAGAGGTTGCAAGTGATCCAGCCCATTCATCTTCAGGAGGAGCATCAGTGACTACTCATACAGTTGGCCAACAACAACAACAAGCCATTGTTAGCCAGCAGAGTAGCTCAGCAGATGCCAAACCAGTGGTCAGAAGGATTGAGAGCAGTGAGACAATCATTGACTTGCGAGAAAGGGATGAAGAAGTAGACGGTTGAACTTGAGTACTGTAATTCACTTCTACATTGGAGATGATGATGGTGGTGAGCCAGAGAAAGAAGATTGTGAGGTGATTGACATCTCAGATGAGGAACCCAAGGTGAGAAGACTTGGAAGATAGAGAGGATGTGGCCATCATTATTGACAGTGGAGCAAATGTATCATTATTCCGATCCCAGTGACCTAGGGGCTCTTCTCTGGAGCTCAAAGGGGGTTGCCCTTATCCTTGCTCCGCTACCATGCGAACTTTTTCTGAGCAATCAAAGGGGCTGCGCACTGGTCACATGTATCAGCTATGCTGTACATACTAGTTGTGATCTGTACTGAAAGTTCTTCACAATATACAATCATATACACATATGTCTGTATATGCATATATGCTTATATTATACCATGCCTTAGATGGGTCCCATGTTGATACAGTACCCCTTCTGAATAATAAACATATGATTCAGGATACCTACCACCAAAATATTGAACACTACTCAATGTTCAATTTGACATTTGGAATAGTTTTATCAAGATACTTCCCCTGGAATAATGTGTGAATTATACTTTTTTGCTCAACCAATGTCTCTGACAATAGTCACTCAATCTGTGAATTTGTTTAGCAACATCTAGCTGGACACATGTGAAAAAACAAAAAACATTAAACACAAAAAACAACATGAACATATGTGTTCTGACTGTGAAAGTGCACGTTTTCCTCTCTCTGTCCTGTCTTGTAAATTCAATCCAGCACGTCCCCCCCTGGATAATTCTTCTGGGGGTCTGTGATCGACCGAAAAACGCGATGGCCTCCAACAATATAGCGATGGTCTAAGCATCAGCTCCCTTTCACTTACCGTAAGAACCCCTAGTGTGTCCACACTGTTTGGGGAAATAACACATAAGGGTATGCCAAATGTGGCAAATTGTCTGTGATTTCCATGGTCGCTCAGAAGGATATCCCACCCCTGCAAAAGTTATTCCACAGAATTATGTCAAAAAAGCATTTGAGTAGGTGACATGGTACCCTGATATATGTTTTTAGTGCACATTATATACATCACCACTGTAGGGCCCTCCAAACACAAACGCAGCCGTCCCATCAACCGTGGCCCACCGTCTGGAAGGACTACATGCGTCAAGAGGCTAAGACATAGGGCTCGGCAGTTCGGTTGAGCCTCAGGATTTCTCCGTCCAAAAGCAATGACTATATATTCCACCTAGTAGCATCCTTGTTTCTAGTAGTAAGGCCACGCGCTACTAGTAGCTTCTTGCTGCTAGTAGTAAGGCCAGGAGCTACTAGTAGTGTCCTTGCTACTAGTAGCGATGCCCTTCATTACTAAATATGAGTGTCCATATTCTGAGTACAAACCCAAACACTATCAAACATATCAAACACGACACTCCATGGGACTGGACGATATACCTACATGGACCCCTGAAATCACCCCAATGTTTGTAAACTCTTGTACAGCAAATATGCCATACATGGAGTGTTTGGGATACAAAAGTGATGCACTGTACATATTTTGCCCCAACAGCACAGAAACCTCATCTTGAAAAACTTTGGCTAGTTGAAGTGAGGGGCCAGGACCCTCATTTTTCAGTCTGCAATCCAGCACTGCCGGTCCATCGCCCCGCTGTGAACCACCCGAAACTAACGCGGACTTGACTTAGCATGGTTTGAATCAACAAATATTTGAACACACAGAAATAGCTCACTTTTCTTGAATAAAAATCACAATTGGAGTTTGTTATTCTTTTCTATTCTATATACTTTTGCTTGAACCAAACACACTTCAACACACACACCACCCACACCGCTCTCCCACGGTCCCCCGGCTGCATCTGGTGCCGCTGCGGATCCGGGTCATCGCGCACCGCGGCATGAAGCTCTCCCGACTGGAGCCGGGCACGGACGGGCACCGAGCGGAGCTGAAACGGTCAACTGTGAAGCGAGATGATGGGTGGACCACCACCACCCATTGTTAAAGAAGTTGGTGAATTCCCTGTTATTTTCTTCAGAAAAACAATGAAGAACCATGTGTTTCTCTGATGAACAACAATGGGCAGTTTCTTATATAGTTCTTTGGGCGAAGTTCATCGCCACCCTGAAGTGTGGGCCCGCACATTTACCGACCAATATGCCCATATCGACCAATTGAGTAATTTAGTTCATTCCCTGAAAATTCACCATTGAAGTAGAATATAGCCGGATGACCATTGAACGAAAACCAATTCCAGGGATGTAAATCACATGAAAAAGGAAACACCAACACGGACACGCTTGTTAAAAGTAATGTGCAACATTTCGCAACTATCGTCACCTCAAGGGCATCGCTACGAACCGAACGGGGCGCTCCGATCGGTTTTCTCTACAACGTGACGCGTCTCCGCGACCATCGTCCTTGGGATGCAACGGTGGAGACCTGGGGGCCGGCGTCGCCGGGGGCCCTGGCAGCCCTGGGGGCCCGAAGGGGGCCGAAGGGGGTGGGGAATTCACCAGCTTTTGGGGCCGAGGCATCACCCTCTTTTGGGAGCCGTTTTCACCAGCGGGGGATGATGACCCTGAAGTCGCACGAACTGCTCTGAAGTCGCACCAACTAAGCATTCTTTGTGAGTGATAAGCCATGTCTTAACCTTTTACTGTAGTTGAAGAGGAGACCCTGGTTCTGGAGGCAACTGGATGGGTCTAACGCAACACAAAGTCTCAAGCCAATCGAAGCATAAGCGTGCTTTGTGGCCATGTAACCATGTATCATTACTTAAGCCGGCCTGCGGGTACCGGGTACAGGCAGGTGCTTCATGTCAAACACCCTGTGTCTTTTGGGCTTCCCATGTTTGATGGCTCTTTTGAGAGTCGAGTTGAGCTATGCTTCAACAGTGGGATATGACTGCAAAAACAGGGGTAAATTATGGTAAATTCATTCAATCATGCAAAACAATCTGCAATTAACAATCTATCATAGCTATATACTTATCCACTACATAGCTCCGCATGATCCACAACAATGATGATGACCAATCCCATTCAATCCTCCTCCTGTCTTCTTAGGATTCTATTTAAACTACATCTCTACATCTCATTTCCCTACTCCCATCCATCCGGCTGCCCCTCGCATCCAGGTGGCAAGAGCTCGGCGCCACAGCGCGCAAGCAGCTCTCGGGGGCCCAGGCTCCGGCCCCGGAAGGCACCGGCCTCGGACGTTCTGTGCGGCAGATCGGATGGAGGGCAGCAGCCAATATGGACTCGCACATCTCTCCATGGACTCGACTCCAAAAAACACTTTGGACATAGTATAAAACCTCTAAACGCCTATAATTCAGATGTGTTTTATCTGTTTTGGTTCGACAAGCTCAAAAAAACACTCCAAAACAAATCACCTCTGCCGTGAGACAGCTCCTGGTGAGTGACTTCATCCATCCAAACGTTCAGTCAATTGGGATGACCATTCCAAGGACACAGGGAGGGATTCCAACACCCAGCTTTGTGCTCGACCCTTTCCACCTCTCTTCAGAGCCCTGCCGGAGGAAGATCCGACCTGAAAGAGGCGTGATAGCGAGTTCCCAACGCCCCACAGCACATGCAGCAATCTAGTTGGTGTCAAATGATTATAGGGTAGAGTTGGGGGGTGTATGTTCATGGTTCGTACGAAGCCTCAACAAATGGCTTTGGGTTTTGGAGTTGTACTCGTCTTGCTGCATCTTCCTCGTGCTTGCGAAAAGCATTCTGTGCATGCTCTCCCTACACATCGAATCGTGGGGAGTCCACGGCCTTTAAGGCTCAGCTAAACATCTTCGAACCAATGTTTAAGGCTCAGCAAGTCTGTCTGTGTTCACAGAGAGTTTATTTTCGTGAGATCTCTAAATGTGGACGTGGCCAGGTGCTGGTGCGGTCGATTTCTGCATGTTTGATGAGGTAACTTTAAAGGGGTGGGGACGAAGTGGGTGATTCAGTCCAAAGCCGCAAAGGGAATGGTCCCAGAATCGTTTAAGGACACATCTTCAAGATCTCCTTAGCTTTGGAGTGAACACCATGCTGCTCCAAATGTTCCAATGGGTCCGACGAAATACATGGGAGGCATAGACCGGACACCGCAAAAACCGAACTGGCTGGCGAACTGGCTGGAGGTCGTACCCTGGAGAAAAACACACCCTCATTTCCTAGACCATCCATGTATGGAACAGTTACATAAGTTATGTTACTTAAGTTTTGGTCAATGTCATGGGTAACATGTATGCAACTATTCCGACTTTTCCATACATGGATGATCAAAAAGGATGGATTATTGAACAAACATGGTATCATATGGCATTATTATATCATATTAATGGTCTGGGATTGATCATTTTCCGCTTGAGGCTCCAGGCACATCGGCCAGCATGGCGCCTCTCAGCTCGGCCCAACGTGGCTCAGTGGTTGGGTTCGAGCCCAGAGGATGAGTGCATGGGCTGAATTGTTTTGGCACCCCTCTAACTCCCCAAAAGTCCACTTGCTAAGCTGAGGAGGCTGAGGCTCCAAAGGTCCGGTATCAGTAAGCGTCCTTGATCCCTTCCCATCTGTGGTCTTAGCTTCGTTGCGTGCAGTGGACCACAAACGCTGCACGCCCCTGCTTGGCGAGTGTACTTCAAAACCTCCTAGAGACGAAGGGGGACACACACACGCACAGATTTGAGATGCTGGACTTGATCCGCAGCATACCTTCAACTAGAATTGATGACAATCCGCTTATAATATTCGGACTCCTGTCACTGACAAACTGATACCCTTCTCCAAGGCAAAAACAACCTTTGTATCAAAGGCCCTTCCGCGCCCCGTGCCCGAATTGCCTCCGCCGGGTTGCGCCCCCGTGAGAAGGAGTCTACTGAAGCCACCAAATGCCAGGAGCAAAAGTCCCCTTTGTTACTGGTAGCTTCATGTTACTAGCAGCGATGGCCTCCAACCTACTTGATGGCCTCCACCTAAATAGCGTCCTTCCATATCAAGGTCAAATGAGGTGTGGAAATGGACAGATCAAAGCCCTTCTGTTAATCTTTTTAGTGGAAACAACATGAAACAAACAAGCTTTGGATGCTTTAGACTTTAGACATGGTGCAGCGCAATTTCACACCAATTTGTGAAGGACTGTGGTCTCTTTGAAGGACTCGAATCGACTTTTCTCTCATTCCATCGAATGTGCAAAAGCGGCAGCATCATCATCAGCGCAACACCTTGCGTCTGAGGGCAACGATGGTCCAATGGTCCCTTCAATTCCACCAATGGTCAGTGATGCACCCGTCAGTGTACCAAACAAAGCATTGGTCATTGGTCTTTCAGGGCGTCCGACGCCCCGAAGCAGGTGAACAGGTCCCCACACAGGTGCAACAATGACCCACCAGTGAACAAGAACCTGAACAAATGACCCACCAAATCCAATGCTAAAATGTGATTGATGTACCTTCCTGCCTTGTCAAGACTAGGTGTCTCCGAGTGGCCTGCAGCTTCTTAACTTGATGAGCGCACTGCCCTTCTCGCGAATGCTGTGCCTGCGAGCAATGTTAATTAATTGTATAAAGATAAAGTTATTATTGTTCTTTCATGACTCCTGTTAATTACCACATATTACCGCAGAAACGGGCCCATGGGCATATGTCTGGGAACCCAAATGTTGGTAGTTAGATGCAATTCGGTTTTCTCGCAGGCGACGGTCTCACAAAACCATAAAGAACTGAAAGAACTATGTTCCAATGTTCCGCAACGACAAGGCTAAGCTGGTTAGCAAACGATGTTCTGGTTCGCCTGTACCAGCGGCCTTTGGTTGTGATATTCAAATCCGAGCAACACACTCGGTCAAGAAAAGGTGTGGCAGCTCTTCTCTGTGGACGCCTCTGAACACTGTTCTCTGTCTGCGTCTGGCGTTTAGTCCTTTTGGCACACAGTTTCTGTGTCAACGTGTCAACGCCTCCCTGAACAGTGTTCCCTGCGTCCACACGTCTCTAAGCAGCCCTGCTGTCTTTCAGCGTTTGGTTGCCGCAAGTTCCCGGCAACCCCTTTTTACTTTCACGTATAGCTTGCTTCTGCTCGCCTCATTTGCCAGCGACGCTTTGCTTCTATTTGCCGCTTGGGTGTTTCCGCGTTTCGCTCGAAACGTGTCTTGTCGCTGGGCGAACCCTTCCTGTCGGGTCTCTCGTATTACTGAACCTGAGGCGAATCGAGATCGAACATCGGACTCTGAAACCACTCTGAAACCACTGAGTCCAAACGCAAAACTGATGCTAAAAACATGAAACAAATCCACTGATCACCACCGCTCAGCGCTGATGCAGGGATCCTCGGCCGATGCCTGGTGCGAGCACCCGGCCGGCGGCCCTTGGCGGCCTAGGTGCCGTTCTGCCCAGCCGCTGCAAAGCCAGGTTTTTTCAGACCCCCAATGGATGTTGGTCTATTCTCCGAACCTTCCAGGGTCTCCCTATTTTGATGCACCAAATGACCTATATTTTCTGCACTGATACCAAAACAGGCTCAACTCAAATGGTGCATTCCTTTTCTGATGCCTTTCGCCCTGCAAAGCTAAATGCCGCCAGTATTTGAACAACTGTTGAGATGACGTGCTTTTGTTCAAACAACCCAGTAACTAATTTGGGAGCCTGCAACAGTATAAACACAATTACAGTAAAGCCAACGCGCAAAAGTGCTCCTGTCCAAGAGTATGATAAATATATGAGGCCAGGGGGTGGTGAGGAAAGCTAGCAGGGCCAGCAAAGAGGTTAGGAAGAAATCGAGGGGGGGCCATAGCAGTAGAAAATTCACGTGGTAGCCAATTCCGGCCAGCAGCCAAAAACTTGCTAAAGCAAGAGCAACCTCAGCTAGCTGATGCTAGCTTTCGTGGTGAAAGTCTCAAGACTCTTGCTAAACAAACATTAAGTCTGGTGCCTGAGTTGGGCTTTGACAATCCTGCAACATCCCGCAACTAATGGATTACCTGGATATCTAGCGGTCAGCGCATGGGTTTGAACCAGGAACTTCCGATCTGGAGATATAATACCAATGTTCTTAGTTCTTGCTGTTCTTAGGGCCCCCACCCGTGCTACAGCCTTGCAATCGCGAGCAGTCGGCCCAGTGGACCAAGTCAGAACCCTTCGAAGTGCGGCTTGCTCAGCTCTTGCCTTCATACCCCTTGCCCCTGTGAAAAGCTGACCCATGGGCCATCTAGCTTCGGGGGTCTGTTGGTCTCGGTCTCGACCGTTCCTGGGAGCCGTTGAGCACTCCACTCCCCCGGCGGCCCGACCTGTCCCTGTCCGACCCCTGACCCATGGCTTCTGGCCACGACCAGGGCGGTTTCTGGTCGTCTTGCACGCAGCGGTTTCTTTGCTTTTGCAGGAGCACATCGCCGTTCCGCCCTCCCGCCCCGAGCGGCCCGCTCACAGCCTGCGAGGGCGCCTTTGGCCTGAAAAAGATCATCGACTTTGAGAGCGCAATTCTGACTTGTGCGACAAAAGTAGTGGAATCTCTAGGGTTCATTCGGTTCATTCTTCCCATATTCCCTAAGAGTCGCACCAATAAGAAGTAAAGGCGGCTAATGTGAATGTGTGTCGGAGTGCGTCCTGCAAATCTGTCCCAAAGTCTAGGGTCTAGGGGAGACCCCTCCAATGAAGGCACACACGTTCCAATAGGTTCGGTGTTTTGAAACAGGAAGGAGAAAGCGCCTTTTGATGGAGAAGTTATCCTTTGGTTTGTCCTGATGATGCATTTAACAATCCCAAACACTCCACAAATGGAATTCTTAGCCTGTACATGCACCCCTGACCCCACCCCAATACAGCTAAATATCCGTGAAGTGTTTGCGATCTATCCAGAGTGAATGTGCATTTGGGTATCTCATTTGTTGCAAACATGCTGCGCATCCCGCGTAAACATAATGTCAAAACTTGCTTGCTTACGGTAAGCCACCAACAGCATGTAAGGTATGATGCTGATGGAGGCACATTGCTTGACAGCCTTCAGATTTTATGGTTTGCATGTTGTATATGTTGTTATATATATATATATATTCTATTTTGTTCTGTTGGCCATTGTTCTTCAGAGCATGTTACGCCACTGCAAAACTTAAGCCTCCGTTTTGCAGAAGATCGTTCAACCGCTTCAGGTGTTTGTTGCCTGAGAAAATGGTTCCTAAAATGTGACACCTTCCGACAAAGTCACTTCCGTGTGAATGAACATACCAAAAAGAAGTGGATGATGATGATTATGATGATGATGATGATGATGATGATGACTGTTAGCTTACAACTTCAACAATGAGTCTTTACAAGTCCCAAGTCGCACGGCAATGCCGAAAAAAAATCGGCCCCTTGAGGATGCAGCGGTGGAGGCTCAACTGGTCCATCCTCTTTCTCACCTGCAAAATAGAGAAGGGTATAATGGTGGGTCAAAGTTCTGGGAATAATGTTGATCCTGACAAATGGTCATCAATAATGGTTGTTTATGGGTCACCAATATTGGTTGTTTATGTTCAATTCCAACATGTCTCACCAGAACATGAAGTGGTGAACTGGTTCATCCCCAAAAGCAACAGCAAACATCGACAACATAACAAAAAAATATCTATGTTGATCCGGTGGACCCCCGTATTGCGCACTTCTTGGGTCTGAAAGCATCGACAAATCGCCCCTTTTGCAAATTGATTCCCAACTGCAGGACGAAGCCAAAACATAATGCAGAAAAGCATGTGTCTGTGATGTTTTAGCGTTTTTTGCTGCATCCTGCCTTACAAAAGGAACCCTAAACTAGTAATTATCGCTAGTCTGCCTGCCTTAATCTCTCGCTATCACGCTATATCATGAAAAAACACACAAAAGCACTTCTTCACAAGAGCTGGGTTCTCTAAACTAAACCGATCGCAAAGACCTCACCGAAGACCTCGCTCCGCTCGGAAGCGAAGGAGGCGAGCCACACGGTCGACCGGTGGATCCCGGCGGTCGCCTTGTGAGCCAGCGGCTTCCGCCTACGGTGCATCCACAATGGGAGCCGCTTTGGGGCTCGGGGTCAGTGCCAGGTACGGGCGGATAGATCTATATGAGCGACGCTGTTTATTTGTTATGTGGGCCTTGCACATTTCAATTTGGTGAGTGTATTATCGTTTGCCACGTTTTGAGCCTTACTTATGTTAAAGGTTGTTTTCACAATGCGGCAGACTTTTTGGATATGGAAGCAGACGTGCGACGGTCAAAACTCCTTCTGTGTGGTAACGTCGTGGGTGTTGCCTTCAATGGTGGCATCGCTACACACAGCGCCAGCATGTTTTTTGACTTGTCGCCTGGTGGTCTGGGCAGTAGTCGCAGTAGCAGTAGAAGTAGGAGTAGTAGTAGCAGCAGGAGTAGTAGTAGCAGTAGTAGTAGAAGTAGTAGTTGTTGTTGTAGCAGTGGTGGTAGTAGTAGTAGTAGTCGTCGTCGTAGTAGTCGTAGTGGTAGTGGTAGTATGTGGTAGTAGTAGTAGCAGTAGTAGCAGTAGTGGTAGTGGTGGTGGTAGTAGAAGTAGAAGTAGAAGTAGAAGTAGCAGTAGCAGTAGTAGTAGTACTAGTAGCACTAGTAGTACTAGTGGCAGTACTAGTGGTAGTAGTCGTAGTAGCAATAGTAGTGGTACTAGTAGTACTAGTAGTAGCAGCGGTAGTGGTAGTGGCAGTAGGAGCAGTAGCAGTAGCAATGGCAGTCGCAGTGGCGGCGGCAGCAGCAGCAGCAGGACGAGGAGGAGCAGTACTAGCAGTAGTAGTCGTCGTCGTGGTTGTGGTTGTGGTGGTGGTGGTGGTGGTGGTAGTGGTACTGGTAGTAGCAGTAGCAGCAGCAGGAGGAGTACTGGTAGTAGTAGTGGTAGTGGTAGTGGTAGTGGTAGTGGCGTGGTAGTGGTAGTAGTAGTTGTTGTTGCTGTAGTAGTAGTAGTAGTAGTAGTAGTAGTAGTAGTAGTAGTAGTAGTAGTAGTAGTGGCAGTAGTAGTGGCAGTAGTAGTAGAAGTAGTAGAAGAAGAAGTAGTAGTAGTAGTAGAAGCAGTAGTAGTAGCAGCAGCAGCAGTAGTAGTAGACCAGCCATGTCTTGAGCTTGTTTAGGTGGGGCACTGGTTTCGTAGCACAGGTTCGTCTACATTTACGTTTTAGGTTATCGTTTGACTACAGCTACATTTCGGACAAACCTGTCGCCAAAGTCCGAAGTCAAAAACGGTTTGGGAAAGGCTACACTAAGCAGAAACGAGGTTCCCTGATGGTCATGGTTAAAAAGCTGTACTGCAGCTATGCAAACTAAGCTTTCCTATAATTAAACATTATGCTATCAATATGTTATCGTTTTTGATGAGTATATTATCGTTTTCCAAGTAAAATGCAAATTCTGCAATCCCAATGTCGGGTCCTTTACTAAATAGCTTTCCGTAAATAAATCAGGCTGCTCATATGGTCACACAGTTGGTATTAGGGCCTCAAGACGTTGTTACAGTTACGGATCGTTGGCGAGCTCTTTTTTTTTGTGAACCCTTTCAGTGTTTTGAGGCCTTGGTTTTTGAACAGTAGGTGAATTACCTATGTTTTGGGGAGGCAAAGAGCATTTTGCACCGCAAATCTCAGCATTTCTACCCCGTTTCCGTGGTTGTTTGTTTCGACGGCCGAAGTAGTTTGTGGTATACAAAAAGACACTGTGCCAAGCATAACGCATTAAAAAAGGGCAACCTTTTTTTTTCACCCTTGAACCCCTTTTTTTTCACCCCGTCCTTTTTTTCCACCCTCCCACCTTTCTTTTTCACCCTCTGAACCTTCTTTTTTCACCCTCGAACCTTCTTTTTTCACCCTCTACCCTTTCTTTTTTGACCCTCGACCAATTCTTTTTCACCCTCCTTCCTTGGCTTGGTGTGTTGGTTGGTTGGCTAGCTTGTTGCAATGCAAACCAAATATCGACAGCCTTTGGGAGGATTGTGTGGTTTTGGTTGATTGGTTTGCTGGTTGCTCGGTGGGCTACCAATGCAAGGCAAGTATCGACAGCATTTGGGGAAAACACAGTTTGGTTGCTACCCCTTCTTTTTAATCCCACTTCCTTTGGATGGATCCTGTGCTGCCTCACGTTCCGGAGGCGTCCGGGTCAGTTTCCGGTGGTTGCCGTCGTTCCGGACAGTCTCTACACAGTTTCCGGAGGGTTCCGAAGGGCTAGTAACAAGAAGCTATTGAGGTGAACACAAAGGGTTTGGCAGGTGCAGGGACAAGCGGTGTGAAACAAACCGGAGGTGACATCGTTCTCTGTGCAGGTTCCATGGGTTACCTGCTTCACCGGCGGAGGGTTGAAAAGAAAGGGTCGAGGGTGCAAAAGACAGGGTGAAGGGTGAAAAAAACAAGGTGAAGGGTGACAGAAACATGCTACAGGGTGAAAATGACAGGGTGCAGGGTGAAAATAAAAGGTTTTGGGAGGGTGGAAAAAAAAAGGTTCCAAAGGGTGGGGAAAAAAGGAATCTTGAGGGTGAAAGAAAAGGTTTCGAGGGTGGGAAAAAAAGGGAGGGTGAAAAAAACATTGTTCGAGGGTGAACAAAAACGGGAGCCCATTAAAACATATGACATTGATGGAACATATAAGTACTTTTCCGGGGAAGAGACCGTGACTCACAACCTATACTGCATCGACAACGAACGTGGCCCCACCCCCCCATCAGCGTAACCCTCATGTAACATCAACATCACCGTAATCCTCATGAAACATCAACGTCATTATCCCATCTCAACCCCGCATCAACGTCATTATCCCACCCCACCCCCACCCCCCATGTAACATCACTAGTTATATGTAGTGTCGAGGGTCAAAAACGCACAAAGCGCAGGGCCCTTTGTCACCGTGCCTCCATCTATATAATCCCTATTGTTTGTATGTACACTTGGTTGTACATTATATACATCTATATCTACATCTTACACAACTATATAGTGGTTGTACACTTGGGCGTCTCTTCTGGATGAATCATCCCAATCGCAAACAGCCATCCATTGACCGGTAACCGACCGGTGGAGCCAACACATCCACCGATCATTCTTTTCAGGGCCTCTACTCAAAATGTCTCCAAACGTGTGAGATTGTTGTACATGCACCGTACCCACTAAGGGATTGACATGGATTCACGGGTCCTCTAAAACCGCTCGGCGCTCTTAGGGAAGGAATGTGACGGGGCGAACATGGACCCGTCATGGGTCTCACTTCTCGGATCACGAAAATGGGTGACCTTCGGAAAGTCACTTTTGGGGGTTCAATGATTGGCCCCACCCGTTGGTCTTTCTGGTGTCATTTACAGAATGACGAGCAATTTACCGGGGACAGGACGGGCCGACCGCACAGGGCAAAGCATTTAAGTCGCACCGATGGTTTATTGCAAAGCTCCAGAAACCAGAAAGACTACCATGATCTACCATGGTGCCATGGGGGTGGTACCATATTTTTGAATATTATATATATATATATAGTTATTTGATCATACTATTCATTACTATTCATAGTTTAACTAGGAATGTTGCGCATGTTGAACACTATTTGGATCTATTTGGAGCAAAGCAAGGCAAAGTGGGCCAAAATCTTTATGCCCTGTACCAGCATTCTGGTCAACCCACAGTTCCTCCAAACTTTATCCAACCACGTGTATCCACATCAAACAATCATGTCAACGTGAAATCAGCCTCTTGATGCTCGACAACTCCTTGCAATGAAGGATGTCTTGATCGCAACAGATTGCAACCATCAACATCCCAAAAACTGTGAACCGGTCGGTTTCCCTTTGGATTCTGATCCGTCTCCCTTCGATGTCTTCCAACCAAAAACGCCGGTCGGACGCCCGGTCGAAGAAATCTCTGGCCTCCACCTCTGGCTTGCCAGGCTTCTCACCTGCACAAATTTCAGATCACAGGCAACAAAATGGATCTTCCATTAGCTGTTGAGCTTTGTTTGGGGAAGTGTATATAGGCTATGTGTGGGGTACCTATGATGGATCACGAGCTTTCTATCGTTCTGGTCATCGGAACCCCGCCGATGCATATTACCAAGCCCTGCCCTGAAGTTGCTTTCAACTGCCAAGTATGAAGTAGGCACCTATGTGACCCCAGTGGTGAATATGCTATTTTGAGATCAATTTCAGGTCCCAAACAGCTCCAAAAGTATACAGCCGCTCTGACATTCAGCCAATGAGCTGTACGTATACGGCTCTACACGTAGGAATGCCAACAGCCCGACAGATTGTCAGAATGATCCAAGTACCAGGGCCTTCAAGGCGTGGTAGACATGGACACCCCGAATCACAGCTTTTTGAGGCTATAAATAGACACCCCGACAGGAGTCCTGGAAGTGGATGGTATGGTCCCAAAAGAAAAAAACACTTTCCTTTACAAACAGGGTTTTTCCACTTCCATGTTAATGAGTCCATTAACCACCCCTTGAAGGCCCTGGTACAATATGGTATGTGATTTTTCTCCCACATACACTCCCAAAAACTAACATGGAACCCAAAAATTGACCTTTGGAAGACGATTTTCCACAATCCTGCGAGTTTAAAGCGCAGAACCCTGCCTGCGGAGCCTTCCTCACCGTCACCTGCTTCAACCTCGTCTCCAACCCAAGGGCGGCCATCGGCTTCCTCCGGCAGGACCTCTCCGTCCATGGAAACCGCGTGATGTACGGTGATAGTTCTTTTTGTTTTGATGTTGTGATAGCCAAACCCTGTATCTCTAGCCCATAACTTCAAAGACCATCAACTTAGGTACGCCAGGCGACGCCAGGCAAAGCCTCTTTTGAGCCTTTCAACAATAGACAATGCAATAGACAATGGGATAGACAATGAAAGCAATAGAAAGCAATAGACAATAGCAACACCAGTAGCAACACCAATAGTGTTTGGTTCTTTTGGAGATCTTCTGAACCATTGTGCACCCACGATCGATCTGAACCAGTGCCAGTCGATCGATGAGTCCTTCTCGGACCAGCTCAAGCACTTCTTGGTCGGACTTAAGGGGCCCATTTGATCCAAAGGCTGAGAAAAAAGAACCAGCAAGGCACTTCAGGCACTGAAGGTTTGCCATCCGTTCCTGCAAAAATGGCGAAACAGGTCGGCCAAATGGGCCGACAGGAGGTCGGCCATGGGTCCCCGACTTCGACTTGAAACAGCTCAAATCAGTCAGTCCAAATAGGCCTTGCCTTGCCCCACTCCTGATGCTGGAGATCCCTGGAATAGAACGGTTTAATGCCTTTTCCACCTGTTCTATCAGTGGGGAGACCAATCAGCAGTGATCCGGTGATCCACGGACTGGAAGAGCCGGCATGTGTTCCTCGTCTCTGACCCACGGAGTCGTCGGCGTTCTTTTCAAGCGAAGAAAACGCACAAACAGAAGGAACATGGGGGGAATATGGGGGAATCCTAAACAGGAACATGAAGGAACGAAACAGGAATTAGATGTTTCAACATCTAACCCCACAAACAGAAGGAACATGAAGGAACCCTCATTCCCCCTCTTTGGGGGTTAGAATCCCATCCCTTCGGGCTCCATGACGATGGAAAAGGACATCAGAAATGGAAGACCAAAGCACCGGGAGATCAGAAGGAACAGAAGGAAACAGAAGGACAAAGACTTCTCACTGACTCTAAGGAGGTCTCACTCCAAGGAGGTCTCACTCTTTGGCGTCAGCTGTTGATCAACTGACCACTGGAAAACCCCCCATCCAGATGCCTCCAAATAGACCTAAAAACTGTGTCCCAAAACCTCATGTTGACCCTGTCGATGAATCATCCCTACCAGGTTGCTTCTAGGCATCACGTTGGGCTTGATTCATAACATGGCACCGGAGAATTGACCCGTGGAAGACCATGTTCCTATACAACACAGTTCGTTTGGGGTTCCATGCGAATCTGCTCGGGGCTTCATATTCATCCAAAGTCAATGTAAATAACATTTTTATTTATATGAAATTATAACCAACCGCATTGTGCATCGACGAACCAACCGCATTCGTCTTTGTTCACGCGTCGCGTTGGGTCGTCTTGGCCACGCAGGCCGATGGGGCGCCGCCGCCGCAGGCTTTGCTGGGTGGTCTTAACGGGCGAGTCGGAATCGGATGGCGAGGTGTCCGGAATCCGGAAAAGGACCAAGCTGAGAATCTGATGATCACTGGGCTGCCAACGCAGGGGTGAAGTGTGCTGTACCAGTGCGATGTTGAAGTGGCATCATCCATAGAATCTGAAGCAGGCAAAACTGACATTCATGGCCTGTGTATAGAGTCCAGAGTATATATGTTGTATCATTTTGTACTGCTTCAGTTTAGTCGGGCACCCTAAATGCATGTGGCGTTCTGACCTCGAGGCGACCTACTGGGGCTTGGTGGCAACACTCTGATCGGACAGTCCCCCCGCGATGCTGGCTAGGAAGCTTGCTCTGTTGGATCAATGGGTAGTGATATGTAGTGATTCACCCACCTTCTTCGTGGTGTTCAAGATCACACGATCTTCTCGAAACAAAAATAATCGGATGTCCTTTTGAGACGAAGACGAATCAAATGGGGCTTCCGGGATAAAAAAGGACAGGATATATAGTCCCATTCGGACCCACAACTATTATATATCCCATTTGTTTTGATCCCGGAATCCCCACGAATGTTGAATTCAAATGGGATGGGATACATAACAAAGTGTTCGCAACATGACTCCCACACTCTGAATAGCTTAGTGGTAGGGAATACTATTTTTTTGGGTGTCCGCTGTGATTTTTTTGGGGTCTGCTTTCTGCATTGATTTAGTTGACCATTGTTCAGCTATGGCTGCCGTTTAAGATCCTTGCTTAACCTCTTCTGAGGTTTGCTTGTTTCCTGGAACTCTGACCGGAAAACCTTCTCACAAGCCCTAAAACTCATGGAAATCATTGCTCCAAACAAATTTTCAAGGAGGTAGTTGACAAGCCCGGGATAAGTGAATTGTGTGAATTGTTTGGAGGGTAGGATTAATGCGCCAACTTGGAGCCCTGGCAAATTATCTAAGCTTAGTTCTCTACTGTTCTGCTATTGCTGCCCTTGAAGCTTGACTTGACCTTTTCTGAGGCTTTGTTTCCTGGAACTCTGATCGGAAAACCTTTCTCAAAAACCTTTCTCAATGATTGAAACTCTTTGAAATCATTGCACCATTCAATTCTTCCAATGGATAGTACACAAGCACAGGGGATGTGAATTGTATGACATTGCTTGGGAGGTGGGATTAATGTGCCAACTTGGAGCCCTGGGAAGAATGTTTGAACTTCATTTTCTATTCCACTGCTTCTGCTACTGCTCCCCTTTCCAGATCCTTGCTTCACCTCTTCTGAGGTTTGCTGATGCTGCTGCTGTTACTGCTACTGCTACTGCTGTTACTACTACTGCTACTACCACTACCACTGCTACTACTCAAACTCAAACTCAATCACAGCTAGTTTTGGTGGGGTTGACTCCGTTCACTCTCCCTCGATTGTTTGCTAGGAAGGGAGGGGCATCCGGTTTACTAATTGAAGATGGAACATGACTAGGCCATCATTGATCTCAACCAACTAGTACAAGGCCATCTATGATCGAAAGTTTCTTGAGAACACCCTGACTGTCTTTGTCACTTCGCCGCTCTTTCACCGGAAGCTTCGCCATCGGACGGGGCGCTTGGACCGTGGTGTTGGCGTGGTGTTTCAACGTGTGAAAAGCAAGAAAAAGAGGTGATGCGTTTGATACTGACAAAGACTCCAGATGGTGTTCTTGACCCTTTGGTCTTCATGACTCCAGATGGTGTTCATGACCCTTTGGTGTTCATAACTCTTTGGTGAATGAACTGGTAAACATACCTGTCAGTTTCTTGGAACAGTGTCCTATTATAAGGTTGTGTTTACTCCATAAAGCATGGGCGGACGACCTTTGTTCGCCAAAAAAAAACACACATGAAGAAACAAAAACCTGTACTTTTCCTGTATACACACTTATACACACGAGCGCAAACTCCAATGAATAACCTAACCCTCACGTTGTCAACGTTTTCTGGCAGCTGACAGAGGACCAAAGTTGAACGAGGACTCAAGCAATCACCTAGGACGCTACCAAAAAATAGGAACAAAAGGCATCGCTACTAGGAGCCAGAAGCTACTAGGGGCTCCTGGCCTTACTACTAGGAGCAAGAATGCTACTAGGATCAAGCAATCACCTTCTCACTGTCCATCACTTTCCACGATTTCGTCGATGATCGCCGGTGGTCTCTCCGCCGGTGGTCTCTCCCGCCCGATGATCGCCCTCCCCCGCGTTGGAACCTTCAGGAAGACAACCGTTGGAGAAGCTGCCTGGCGTGTTGAGAAGCTGAGTGAGACATCTCCAATCCTCCGGTTTGTATGGCATTTTTTGCATTTCAATTGGAGTACAGCAGTTTTTGATTGGTGTTTCAAGGGTCAATGTTCCACACCAAAAAAGGCGTCTAAATATACTTCTTAGGATGTACCAAGAACGCCACCAACCAAGAACGCCACCTGGAACTTGGAACCTCGAAACCCCAGGTTAGAGGATTCATCCGTCGAGAACATCGAAAAAAAAAAAAAAAAAAAACAAAAAAAACAAAAAAAAAAAAAAAACAAGCAGCAAAACCACCAATGTGTGGTGATCCCGAGCCCCCCATAGTGCCAAATGATGAATTGGCTCCTAACCCTTAGGCACGGTCTTCCAATACATTCTGAATGTGGGGATCTACTTCTCTACCTATTTAGACCTATTTGGGGGTCTAACACTTACGGATCTCCTAAGCACAAAAAAAATCCCAACATGTCTGTTAGGAGCCAATTTTGGGGAAGTAGCCCAACGAATGAGGGGAACTCAAGAGAAGTGCCCAACCGTTTGGTGCCCAAACGCTCCCCCAAAGCTTTCTGCTGCGTCGCGCTGGGCGGATGGCCCGCACAATCCTCGACGTCACGTCGGATCGGGACATCCCGTCGCGCCTGTTGAGGTCCAACTCTTTGAACGCCCACTGCGCTGCTGACACCTCCTGGCGGTGTAAGCCCGTCGACCGGAGGAGCTCACGGATGAGTTGATCAGTCGAGTCGTACACCGTTCGACCGGGGAGCCAAAGCAAAGAGCGGAAAACTGGAGAGACTCATTTCAAAGGGTCGCGTCAGAGTCGCGTCCTTTCAACTTGGAAAGATCTGGAAAAAAAAGTCAACCAATGGATGTCAAAACGCGTAGTCCAAATGGATGTCCCCCGGACTCCGCTCTTCTCCAGTCCTTCTTTCTAAATATTCGAAGCAAACCTCCACTAAACAGTGTCTTGATGTCCATGGGACCTCCATGTCCCTCGGTCCAATCCCGCACGAACTCCGCCCCTGTCTTCCAATCGATCGGCCAAGTCCGCATCTCGCTACTTTGGCGCGGGCTCTAGGATCTCATCTGGCTCAGGTGAGGAGCTGATGTCGCGTTCAAAAATCAAGAGAATCTCCTAACATCGGTGCTGGACACGGTGCTGTCGAAGGTGCTGCAGCTGACCTTCACCCTGGCAACATGAGGAGCACCACCTCTGGAACAATTGAGATAGTTATATATTCCTTCCACATAGATTCTAAATAAATAATGTTCAACAATGTTGTAAGTTCTGACTTTTTTCCTGACACCTTGATACAATTCAATTTCCATTACATGCCTGAGAAGAACCCGTCATACAAGTACTTATAGAGGACATTATGAACATGTTTCAGATTTTGAATGTGTCGTTTGGTATATCTCTCACATGTAAATCTCTTGCAAAGCTATTCCACACGAATAATTAACTGTATAGGTGGTACCTTTACCTTGACCCACTACCTTGTTACAATATATAATATTCAAATTCAAGAACTGTTCCAAACAAATAACCCAGTAGGTGCGATGCCGCATCGAATCGTTTTGTGCAAAGAACAACCACGCATCAAATCACCCGTCACATCCCGTCACTGTCACACAAAAGGGCGACAAAAGAAACGAAACTGATGAACACTCTGCCTTAGACCCCGCCCTGCTTCGGTCCCACGCTGACAGCAGTTGAGTCATCAGATGAACGCTCCCACCCTTTGACCTCCATCCGAACGCCAAAGGCACCGTGTCGGATCCCAGCATTGTATTGGAGTTCAACTGATCCACCATGTCCTCCACAGTGTTAATGAAGGAGGCATCCACGATCGTCCTCAAAACAATGGCATCCACGTGTCGTTTTTGGCGCTGAACTCTCTCCAAAACGCTCGAAACGTCTTGCGAACGTACGGGCCTCTTTCCAGTATCAGTAACCTATACATGCTTAAACGAAGAAAGCTTCTTGGGTGGGATGTTCGGAGCGTATATATATATAATATATATATACAGTATTGCTGGAAAAGGGCCCTGAAGAATTTGCGCACTGCTGAAGTCATTATCGGTGCTGGTCAGCTTGACTTCAACCTTTCGTTTTGCAGGCTGCAATTTTGTTGGACATACTTTTGCAGTCAGTTATGTTGTCCACAAGGCCGCAAGGGCTCTGACCCCTTGGTCTCTACGTCTCGTGTCCTTACGTTTCCTGCAAACAAGATATTGATATGTCTGCTGCCGTAGCTCGGCAAATATTTACCCCATTCAATGCACGCGTAGACGGTTGCTGTATCAGGTCAGCATGCAAATTAATAACTATAGATCTATATGTATATATAACTAGTACATCATATACTATATATGTCCAACACCATCGGCCTTTGGCTAGAGAGTGAAGCTTGAGGATTTTTCAAGAACCCCCACGCAGCATTTTGCAACTTGTTATGTCCTTTACGCTAGATTCATCATGAACGCTGGACAACTGGACTCCCTGAGCATCCAACTCGACCTCATATCATATAACTTACGCTTTGGAACAGCGACGAGTTCTTGCCTCAGGGATCCACGTACCTCGTCCATTCACGAGTTCAGTCCCATCATGGATCTCCGCGCTCGTCGACCCGATGCACGTCGACCCGACGCGTTCGATCCAAAAGTCTGTCTCCAGCGACCAAGGCCACCCACTACGCTGGAGACGAAGTCCTGTGGAAGCGGGCCACGGCACTAGGGTGTGGAGATGGCCTGTGAGGTGCATTCATGCAGGAATCGAGATCTCAAGGAGGTGTTCTGCTTGAAGTCTTTGAAGTTTAAAGGTTGAATACAGAATACCATTTAACAAACTTGACACAAACATGAACATGATCACATACGTTCATCCAACGAACGTGATCCGCGATGGGTTCGGACCGCGCGGGTATCCCGCTCCTCAGTTTTGATGCCCAGGTTGGCCCTGCTCGACCAACGCACGAACCAACGCGTCTATGAAACACGTTGACCTCGTTTTCCCTGTGAGCTTATCACGCGTCAAAGCTTTAGAACCCCCAATCATGCAGGAATCGAGATCTAAGTTGATGGTGCTCAATCTACACTCACTGAGATTGGTGTGCCTCCTAAATGTTCACAGCTTCTTTCACAGACTCGCTATTGATAAGCGTGTGCTCAAACCTCCCTTTTAGTCTTCTCATACCTAGACCCAATTTGCATGAATGCAATACTGTGAACAAATCTGTCATGTGTGGTCTCAAAATGGACAAATACATGGTGCATCTTGCAAACAAACATGTAGATAGAAGAAACAAACAAACAAACAAACATATACTATATACATTGATATTGTATTGATATGAGATATCAAGGAGAAGCAGGCATTCGGATGTGCTCACGTACATGCAGAAGCGCAGCACAACTCCACCCCAGCCTGTCCATCACCACCGTAAGGGCATGCAGGATATCGCCCCGCCAGACGTGTTCTGCAGCAGGGCCAGGGAAGATGTCTTCCACCAAGAAAGCTCCCTTCAAGCGTCCCTCGTTCTGCTTCCTGAGCTGAAGTCCTGCAGGCCGCGGCCAGTGAGCTGAAGGCCGGCACGATAAGCCCAAACCACCACATCCCACATGGGGGGCAAGCAAGTGGTCCTAGTGGCAAACGGCCCTGGAAGGTGAAGAAGGCAGCATTCTTCCTGAGATCGAAGTCTATCTCCATAACATCACAACAGAAGTCACTACCCACCCAGTAGCCTTCTCAGGTGTGATTCTGGTCTTCTCAGGTGAAAATGCGTTGTACTCAAAACATTCTGTCACTTCCGGCAGTATTGGACTGCTGAAAGATCTGTTGAACCAAGCCTCATCCCCATTGCAGGTTTCATCCACAATATCCACACTCCCCCCAATCCTCCCATACTCCAGGACCATCCTGAGATATGGGCCTGGCCAAAAAGAAATCATGCGAGGACCAGAAGGTGTTTATCACTGTTTCAATATGTGTCCTTCTCCAGGGCTCATTTTGGTAGCATTTTTGAGCTGTAGATTATAGTTGCAGCCAGATTTTGAGCATATATATATATATATATACATTTCTTTCCAAGGTTGACTCTCGTAGCTACGGTGGTCCGCACACAATCCCTTTTTCCACAGTCATCTTGCCAGTATAGTCTTCAACCTGCCATGTCCAGCAGGATAATTGCGTTGGGTTACCTGCATCAGCAGGCCTGACACAATCAGACCCTTGTGGTATCCTTCCGGTCACTCCGGAAACCACTCCCAATGCACTTCAAATCCTCCCAACGCACTTAGAGAAATTCTACGACTCGGATCACTGCGGGCAGCGGAAGGTGCCAAAGGCAGAGAGGGCAAGAGACGGAAAAAGGGGTGAATCCGTTGGTTCGCCACCACGGATCGGACCAACCTAGTCTTGAAATGGCGTCGGCCCAATTACTCTTAGACGGAATGTATTCCCAATACATCCAGGTACGCAAAGCGTACAGTATGACATGAATCAAACCACACATGCGTTCCAGATCGGGTGACTGGGAACGGCCCCGAATCAGACACATGAGGCTAGCGACGTTGTCGATCAGCCAGATGCCTCGACGGCCTCGAAAGGCCTGCGCCCGATATGTGAGGGCATAAATGATCATCACCATTTCCAACTGTGCTATCTGCCTATCTCCAGGCTCCCACAGCTGGTACACTTCCGGAGAAATGTTGGCGATGAAGGCTTCTCGAACCGGTCCCACCGGATCGTGCCAGACAATTAAAAATCCTCCGGTGCCTTGCTTCGGTTCCTCCAAAGCTGCGTCAGAGGCGACAACAAACCGCAAACATTCGGACGGTCTCACGGGAAGTTCTCGACAAGGTCGGTGGCGAAGGATGGAGTGAATTAGATCGAAGTTGCGCTGCAGCTCTGGAGTGAGGTCACGGTTGCGCTCTGTCTGGCGTGCTTTAATGGCTGCCAGGCCTGCGCATCCCAACCTTCCGTACATGCCCTGCTCGAGAAAGTTGAGCATGCCGTAGAGCTTGGATGCCTGGCCTGAGGACAGGCTGCTGTGTGTCTGTGCCTCGGTAATCATCGCATCTGTCTTCTGAATCAAGCGATCACGGGCCCAAAACTTCACGAAGCCCCGACTGAGGTTCGTAAAGTCGTGATCAAGGCCCAGAAAGGTGCCGGTAGGCTGCATCAACTGTTTCTTCTCCTCGGCAAACGGAGTACCTAATAAGGTGTTCAACTGACAGAAAGCTTGTTGGCTAGAGCCGAGGCCTGACTGGAGGTCCGTGATGTGGGCGTCATCGAAGTATAGTGACACCAGACTGTATGTAAGCCGTCGGCCCAGTGCTTCAATGAGGCGTGAATACCGATTGAACGATGTAACCGCGAGCGGAAGGCCGAAGAGGAGGGATGAAGACACCTGAAAGGCGGGTTCCCCCCGCTCAGCATGCCAGAAGCAGACGATACAGCCGCGGCTCTCTGCCTGACTGATAGGGGAATGCCGATACGCGTTCGGCCAATCTTCCCCTCCTGACTGCCACTCGTCAGCAGTCGTAAGGGTGTGCCACTGTTCATCTGTCAACAGTGAGGCAACTGCCCCCACATGTTGTGCTGGGCGCAACGGCGAGCATAGCACCAATTTGTTCCAATCCGACGACCTCTCCGACTGGCCTCCTGTATCTCCATTGTCAATG